TTGTTTGGCGGTCCCGGGCTGGGGATTCGAACCCGCCACCTTAGGTGTATGTGGCTGGCGCCTTAGCCGCTTGAGCCACAGGCACCAAGCCGCAACACACTCTTTTAGCACAGAGTCTTGCCCACAGTGGGGACCTAAGAAATGAATTGATTGTAGTACAGATAGCAACCCCCTACCCTGGATCTAAGGTCTAGTACCTGGGAAGATTTAGGGCAAAGATGGCTTCACATAGTCACCTGTGTGACCTTAAGCTCACCTAGCACGGTCCCCAGCATGGAGGGAACAGGTAGGTTTGGAATATCTCAGAACTGGTTGGTGAACATGGACATAGCACTCCCTGGAAGCAAGTCAACCTCCCACACCTGCTACCTGCTTCACTTCCTCACAGAGGCACCCAAGGGCAAGCTCCTATAGGCTCTTTGGCCATTCTCAATGCTGCACCAACCCTGCTGGCCCCCAGCCTTCTCCTCTCTCTCCTGCTTGGCCCTCTTGTCATGTGTCTCTCTGAGCCATGGATGTCCCATTGGCACCTACCAAAAACAAAAGAGAGAATTATGTGGGAAAGAAGGCCCAGCAGGAGGCCATGGAAAGGAACAGGACAGACTCTGGGTGAAGGGGGTGTATCTTGATAGGTGTGGGTTACCTGAGTGTTTGCTTTTGTCAAACACTGGGCATCTCATTGTATGTAGATTTAAAATGATATCTTTATTAAAAATATCTTAGCAATTCAGGAACCTAATCTTCACCTGCTGAAGTGGGTCAGGGGCTTTCTTGGGTTATTTACCTTGGGATGGAGGGATCGTGGATTTGTGGGGGATCACAGTGGGTAGGTGGTTATGACCTTAAACTCTGTTCTCTCAGGGTGAAGGGCTTTATCAGTTGCATTGACACAGCCCTATACTGGTGTCTGCCTTCATCAGATCATTCCTATGCCCAGGAGATCCAGGATCACAGACAATACCTTGGCCCGGCTGAGCAGGTAGGACTTTTGTAAGATTCTCTGTTGCCTCATTTTATCCTCACATACCACCCTGAGAAGTTATTGTGCTCTCTGTTTAAAAAGAAGTATGCCAAGTTTCTGACATACAGACTTGTAGTTGATCTTCATTATTTATGGAGTCTATGCTTGTGAAGGCAACTAATCCCTAACATTTGAGACCCCCAAACTGGCACTTGTGGGTATGTGCCGAGCAGTGAAGGATTCAAGTTGCTTGACACACACGTCCCAACCAAGGCTGAACCCAGTGTCACTCTGCCTTCTTGTTTTAGCTTTCTCATTATAAACAAATGTCCTTTTGGGGCCTACTTAGTGCCACATTTTCCACATGTGGTGCTTTTTTTGGTGATTTTGCTGTTTAAAACAGTTCCCAAGTGTAATGCTAAAGCGCTGTGTAGTGCTCCTGAGCGTAGGAAGGCGGTGGTGTGACTTACGGAGGACATGCGTATGTTAGATAAGCTTTGTTCAGTTACAGTGCTGTTGGCCATGAGTTCAAGGTTAATGAATCAACAACAGGTACTAAATAAGGTGTTGTTACACAAAAATACACATAAAACAAGGTTATAGATTGATTTGCTCAGGAAAATGAGACTGGTGGCTCTCAGGAACATAATCCTGTGTTTCTCCTAGGAGAGATGGCCTGCTATGGGCCAATGCAATGTTCCCGTGACTTTACAAAACATACCTACTTTAAGAATTGACTATACTTGCTTAAAGTCCTACATGTTTGCAAGGCATGAGGACTAGATTTCACTGATCTCTACCCAGGAGTCCTTCCAAAGTCCCCCATTGTTTCCATGTACTGGCTCCTCTGTGACCTTTGGGGAGGGAGGAACAGAGGGGCACAGAGGGGCACAGAGGGCATAGGGGCACACAGGGGCACAAAGGGGCATATGGGGGCATGGAGGGCCATGGAGGGCCATGGAGGGCCATGGAAGGGCAGGAGGGGCAAGGAGGGGCAGCAGTGTTCTCAGAGAAGAACACTTGCACAGACCGTGCCTTCCAAGAACCCATGTTCACTGAAGGTAGGCAGTGCAGGGACACATGACTAGGCCAGGCCAACTCAGAGCAAAACATGTGCCAGGCTCAAGGAAGTGAGGCGCACAGGCAGGAGCCTGTACTGGTTAGATGAAGGCACTCTGAGGATGAAGGCACTTTGAGGCTGGGATGCCACAGGAAGAGAAGCATGCAGTTAAAGCAAAGCCACCTGAAATGTCACCAGGAGTCACTCAAAGTCACGAGAGGCAAGGCATGCACAAGCTCTCAGTCTTTCCCCAACCTAGTCAAGATGCACACCCCTCCCCCCACTCTACACATCCTAGTAGCACGTCCACAGGCACTCACCCCCACATGACTTCAACTGACTCTTCAGTGACTTGGTGAGATGGGCAGAGGGGCACCAACACAGCTGAGCCCCAGATGGGAAACGGGGACGTTGGAGTGATGTGGAATTTGGACTTGCTGGGCAATGTCCAAAGCTCATGTGTGTGTCTGTTCTCTGTATGCCACACTGAGACTAGAACTGCAGGCTTCCCCAGACAGGCTCACAGCCTCCTTTGTGAACTGCCCAGACCTCACTTTGACCTCCGCCCAGCCCTGCCTTCTGCCACCTGACAGGTATTAGGTATTGCATTACATAAGGGAAACTGAGGCCACACAGGAAGTAGTGTCTGGCAGTGACGTCTCTCTTTCCTGCTTACCTTGGCCTTACAGCCCTTCTGCCACCGTCTCTGAGCCTGGGAGCCCCCTGCAGGGCTCGTGCTCTGCACAGCTGGGGCAGCACTGCACGGAGAGGTGGAAGCTGAAGCTGAGGTGGGTCCCACAGGCCTGGAGTGTCAGGAAGGGGCTGGTTTTTCTGGTGATGCCAGGTGGGAGAGCCTCACACCAGGAGCAGCTGGGCTGTCCTCAGCCATGCAGACAGCCAGGTGGCCTCAAGGCCCCCAGGCAAGATGATGTGTTTGGAATACAGTCCCCTTCTGAGAGGCCTGACTGTGTGGGACAAAGAAAACTGTCCCTCCTCTGTCTTGCAAAGTATTATCCAGGGAATTCTCTGGCCTAGTCAGCCTGTCTGGACTCTGAATGCAATGTCTTCATGCTGTTTTTTTTGCCAGCTACTCTTTGTGTACAGGTGAGTGAAGTTTATCATGGGTTACATATATAGGAGAACCTCTGTGAGTTGACCACCCAAGGAACTATAACAAACTGATGGACATACAGAGGTGGTCACCATAAGTATCTAGGCCTACTGTACTGATACGGACATGTGATGCATGTCCAGTCTATGAAAATCAGGTCAACTGAATGAGGTGGTCCATGTAGGAGCTGGTCACTATGCAGGTTACACTGTATTTGGGGGTAGCTCAATGCTTCTGATTCTTTTCCACCATAACATACCTGAAGGATTTAGGATCTTTCCTTCTGGACTCATTATGCCTGAAACGGTCACCCAGAGACGGAGAAGATGCCTGATCCCTTAGTGAGGGTGGATCAGAATTTCAGAGAGCATTCCTAACGTGAGAGGCACTCCTAGGAGTGGGGCACAGGGGAACGGAAAAGATCCTAACCCCACTTTCTGTTAGCAGAAAATTACTGGTAGATGTCATCGGTCACATACAGTTAAGGTTCTTACCAGGAAGACTGAAGTCTTTGTCCTTAACATATGTGCGTATAATGCTTGTGTCCAAGTCACAAGACTGTCAAGTTTCTGGGACCAAATTCTGCTAGAACAGGGGCCAACTATTGTTGGCTTCTCAAGGTATTGATGCCAAAGTTTTTAGATCCCCAAAGAAAGGCCTTCAGCTCTCCCTTCGTGTCTGGACTGGTTGTCTATGCCCTGTCCCCTTCCTCAGTTAATTTACCAAATCATCATTCGCCTCCACTATAAACAATACCATTGTCTTCTTCCCACTTCTAGATAATAAAATGGATGCAGTATAAAAGGAGGCCTACGGGGTGAGTTGGGGTGAGTGTCCAGGACGCAGGCCAGGCTTTCCTGGCCAGATGACTCCATCCCAGGTACACTGACAGTTGACATCAGAGGGAAGTGCCACACATTTGAACTATACAGCTAAAGCAGAATAGTCTGGCTGATATCTCTCCATGGAGATATCAAAGGGGATGTTAGGTAAATGCTGAATCACCAGACAGACGGCACATAGCTTGCCGGTGACTGGCCCATGTGAACCTTGAAAAAGTCTAATGCCCTTTTCTCCATGTCCAGCCCTGAAAAGTCAGTCTACAGCCAGGCTTAGGAGTCTGGGATGTCTGGGAGCCCCTCTTCTTCCATCCCTCTAGGGCATAATTACCCACTGTGACCACTGCATCCTCCATCTGGACCTGTCATCATTCCCAGACTGCCACTTCCATATATTTCTTATGGGAACTTAGCAATTTAAAGAACAAAAGTTCTTTCTTCCTTAAAGAAAGAACAAAAAAGGGGCGATAAAATTTGTGAAGGCAGTGGAAGAAAAAAACAAGAAGGGAAGACAGAGCCGAGGGAAGGGGAGTTAGGATGGAGAAGATGAGGAAGAGAATTACTGGGGGGAAGCGGGGGGCAGGAGGAAGGAAGAAGTCGCCCGGGGTACTCACGTGTTGTGGAGCACACACCAGCCACAGTGGGGGTCGCCTGAACCAAGGCACTCGCCACAGCTCCGATACTGACCACAGGACTCCACAGGGACTCTGGTGAGCTAGGACAGCAGGACAGGGAGAAAGTGGTCAAGACTTGGCAGAACACCGAGGAGTCTGGCAGAAGAGCTGGTATTCTCAACATTCCACGTGTCACTGCAGGAGCACAAAGGAGCTTAGGGCCCTGCAGGGAAAGGGACCTTGAGTGACCACAGAAGCAGCCAGGGAAAACAAACAGCCACAGGATTTTCTTAGTCGTCTCCAGAAGGACAGACTCCGTGGAGTTCACACCCAATTGTGAGAAACAAATTTATACAGCATACACTTGAACTCTCCCCCCTCCACCCTGCCTCCACCCCCCATAACTACAAATAGGTTGTCACATATGTGTTTACCAGCAAGGTAATAAACACAAATGGTCATTCTTTCTCCCTTGCCATAAAGTGTTCTGCCTTCTTTCCAGCCCTTCCCCTTCAGGCCTCATCATTTCTGCTATTCCAGAGAGCGTGTAGCCCGAGGCCAAGCCCCTTGTCTTTCTTCCTCTCCTTGCCTTTTACCAAGATGTCATGAGCTCACTTTGTAGCTGTTACTTGCCGGCTCTTTCTTTCCCATAGTGTTGGCCAACTGGCTCTAAAAGCTTTCGCTCTGGTGCTTTCAAAGAGCAGCTGTTGCTATTTCTCCTCCTACTCACACTCTTTTCATGACTAGAGGCTTCCTCTCCAGCCCCAAACTTTATATTAGCTTTCACCAGCCGCTTGTTAATGTAAAATGTTCCACATGACATTTTTGCTGAGCCCAAATGCTCCCATTTCCTGCATGCACTTAAATATCTTTTGAATTTCTTTGTTCTCCAATGTAGCTTTGCCTTGATGTCTCTTTACATGACTTCCCAGGACCTGCTACATACGAGGTACTTAATAATGATACAGTGGATCAAATGGAGTTTTTATTTTCTTTTTATAGCCTTGGTCTTTATTCTCCATTTTGCCAGTTTCTTCTTTAAAGAAGGTTTTTTGTTTTTTTTTAATATCATCCTTTTCCATTTGGGATACCTTTTTATCTCAATGGAGAACTTCCTCCCTAATCATTCAGCTTGAGCTAAGAGAATTTGATGTGGTCATCTCTTGCCATCACACAACAGGCACAGAAAACTCTAAACCGGGCTGCCCTGGCCGAGCCCTCCCTGCTTCATGAGCAAGTGCAGAGGCTGTGGTTTCCCCTGCTGCTTAATGGGCATCGGCCTCCGTAAAGTGATGTCCGCTTGGCAGGGGCGACTTGTAACTCACACGCTGGCAAACTGGCACCACGGCCTGCTCGATTACTCTTGTAACTCTCTTTTGGAATTAATTCATAATTAATTCATAATTAATTCCAAATCCCACATGACCTCTTTCCCCTTAACTTTCTTATTCCCTTTATATGCCTTTCCGTTCTCCAAAGTACACATCGAGCATTATTAATGACCACACTGCGGTCATTTTTACTTCTTCCAAGTGACCTTTGAGCCTCCCTCTCCCATTCTTATAGTTTTGCCCTTGGGTTTGCTGGCCCTTTGTCTGCTTTCTCAGATGTCTTTTTTTGCACATTTGGAATTTTATTTTTTTCTTTTTTTTTCTTTTCAACTGCTCATGTAATGTGCATGGGCCATGTCTGACCTCTGCCCATCTACGACCTTCCTATCTTCCGAATTAACCTTGACAATCAGTTTCTCACACGTTACCCCACTGGCTCCACACATAGCCAGGAACTTACCCTATTCCTGTTGCATTTTTAATCTCTCTCCCCACTCCTTATGTGGGTATAAATATGCTAGTCATGCAAGCATTCAAATAGTGGTTCCCAACCCAATGTGCCCAGAAACTCCTAGGAATTCACAGTGGTAATGAGGTCCATAAGCTATTTTCAATATTTCCAAAGCCTAATGGAAATTGGATTGTGACTGTTTTATGTTTTTATGCATAGTCAATGATGTATGTTCCATATTAAAAATAGGAAATATATTATTACTTAATAAATGCAGTTTGTTTAGTGGACAGAATCTTTCAAAACATAATGCACAGAGGGAAAAATAATAAAAAGGGCCATAAATGGTGAAAGTTGGGAAGCATGAGCACATAATAATGTTTTCATATGTTCCAGCTGCTTGTCTAGCACTCCATATTTTGCATGGGCTTAAAGGGAAAATCGTGGCTTGTTCAGTCGAAAGCATTTTCTTGGTCTAAACTTAATTAACATCCTCCCTCCCTGGTTTCTCCCATTGGCACGTCTTATCACCCGCCTTGGATGGACTGTGCCCGGGGCTTCCAGGGTGTGCCACATTAAGGAATGACCCAGCTTCTCGGTCAGCCTGATGTTCTCAAAACACCCTTTGCGTTCAGGTTCCTAAAAATATCTTCCAACTGGTATTTAATAATGCCAATATCCTGGAATTGTCAAGTCCTTTCTCTCTAGATTTTAAACATGAGTCATTTTTTGTTTGGTTGGAAAATGTGGAAGAGACCACAGAGCTAGGTTCAAACTCTGCCTTAACTTGGAGATAAACATCCACCCTTCCCTCAATTCACAGTTTTTCAAAGCACAGATGACTCAATAGTTGTGTAAAACAGTCTGGCACTTCATAAGTGATGGTTAGATCCCTGCAATCCTTGTCATTAATAACCCAGTCCCATTTGCTCCATCACTTACCTGTCTCCTACGTCCCAGAAAACTGCCCGGATGTATGTCCTGAGCCTCATGGGCTCCGCTGGGAGTTCAGCAGACCTGGGAGAACCTACCATGTCATTTCTTCCCTGGTCTGCGACCTCTGCCTCTAAACCTTCCATTGCTTCACCCTTCAATGAAACCTGGGTCATCCCACCTTCCTGGTCTTACTCAGAAACTGTACTAGCTCCCAGGACAGTTGTTTTCTTTGCTTTTCATCCAGGTGGGCCCATATGGGATGGGGCACAAGTCCTGGGCAGTTGTTATAAGACCCAGTCCCAGACACAGCTTTGCCCTCAGCTCCCTGGGTGACCTTGGGCCAATCCATCTCAGCCTCTTTATGAACATCTATAAAGTGGGACCGGGCAGGTTAGTTCTAAATTCCCTTTCAGTTCTAACATTCGAAGCTCCTTGTTAATGCCCAGACAAGGCATGAGTCCACCTTTAAGTCATATGCTCTTGAGGCATCGCGAGCTTTCTCTTCTCAAAAGCACATAACCCAACTTCCTTTAACTTTTCCTTACAGAATCTTTCTATTTAGCTTTTTTTAATTTTTATTATTCTCTTCTGAACTTGATCTAGGTTTTTTTCTGTTCTTTTTAAAGTGTGGATACTAAAACTGAGGAGTCAGTGAGATTCTGATATGCCAAGTAGAAAGGTTACCACCTTCCTCATCTTTCCAGAACCTTCCCAAGGAAGGCCAGGACCAGGGAAACTGCCCAAGTCCCTCCCGGACTGGCCTCACATCTCCCAGTCTATACCATCACTTTGCCTCTTTCCCCACCTCATGTGTAATTCTGGAAAGCATCAGAAGGTTTCCTGACAATTTAAATCACTTCTTAAAATTGGATTTAGATCAACCATTTCTCTCAGTACAAATGTATCCTCTAGTGTCCCTGGTTACCTTCCACACCTTGCCCGTGCAATGCACAGGTGGCCAGATGGCCTCTGAGCCACCTTGCCCCGTGACTCTCTCTCCTCAAATACCCAGACTCTTCGCGCATACCTTGCACTAGACAAAGCTGCCTCTCCCACCCCCCACCTTCAGCTCCTCTCCTGACCCCGGAACACAAACTGCTCCAGATGCAGAGCCACACGATTAATTAAAACCGCCCCATGCTGATTAAAGTCTTAAGCTACAGTGCCAGGCATGCTAATTAACGGAGTGAGGGAATTCAGACCACAGGAAGAGGTGAAGAAAGGAAGTCATAGGGTGAGAGATCTAGGAGGGACTTCTGTTTGAAAAACAGATCAGATGTCGATGTGACCTGAGCTATCATAATGATAGATAGTCTCAGAGACCACAAAACACTGACGTCTGTCCCCTGGCCACTGGACTTCAGGAGAGGTGTTGAGCAATGCAGTTGTCATATCGCCCTCACTGCTTCTAGAGAAGGGAGCCTCACCATCTCTCAGGACCTCTGTGTGCCTGAATGGTGCTGGGGGAAAACAAGGCTCCTGGGGTGCAGGGTTCAGGGTGAAGTACATAGTTGTCTTGGCACATTGTCCTGGCTTTGTGCAAAGACCTGTTCCTCAAAAGGCTGCACGTAGAATTTCTGTACCATCCAGCACCTTCACTTCTGGGTACTTACTCAAAAGAACTGAAAGCAGGGTTGCAAAGAGAGATTTGCACATCCATGTTCACAGTGGAATTGCTCATGATGGGCAAAAGGTAGAAGCCACCCAGAAAGGACAAACAAATGTGGTATATCCACACAGTGGAATACTATTCAGCCCGAGAAAGTAAGGAAATTCTGGCACATACTACAGCATGATAATCCTGACACAAGAAGGACAAATACTGTCTGATTTCACCTGTATAAAGTACACAGTCAAATTCCAAAGGCAGAAAGTAGGAAGGTGGCTGCCCAGGGCTGGAGGAGAGTAAGGAATGGGCAGTCTCTGTTTAATGTGGACAGGGTTTCCTATTTGTACGGTAAAAGCTCAGGAGGTGGATGGTGATGCTTGTACCACAGTGTGAACGTACTCAATGCCACTGAATACTTACCAATGGTTACAATGGTAAATTTCACAGTATGTATATTTTAATACAATAAAGACCAGGCACAGTGGCCGGCACCTGTAATCCTAGCACTCTGGGAGGTAGAGGTGGGTGGATTGCTTGAGCTCAGGAGTTTAAGATCAGCTTGAGCACGAGGGAAACCCCCATCTCTACTAAAAATAGAAAAAATTAGCTGGGCATTGTTCACTCACCTGTAGTCTCAGCTACTTGGGAGGCTGAGGCAAGAGGATCTGTTTAGCCCAAGAATTTGAGGTTGCTGTGATCTATAACAATGCCATGGCACTCTACCCAGGGTGGCAGAGTGAGACTCTGTCTCAAAAAAGAGATCCCTTTTGAGTT